CTGCTTTAACCTTTTAAGCTGTTCTGTCCAATTCAGCAGTCAGTAATCGTGTATGACTATTTGAATCAAAAGTCATTCCTATTAAATAAAATTAAAAATTAAAAAATGTAAATGTCGGTGCCTCAGATGCAATAGCCATGTACCAGGTGCCCAATAGCCATACGTGGCTAGTGGCTGCTGTATTGAACAGTGAAGCTACATAAGACTTCCATCACGTCAAAAAGTTTTATTGGACAGCACTGCTCTATAGCAAAACAGAATATCTACTACTTTTTCCACATGAAAAGCTATCTAAATGTTCCCCCTCAGTCATTTCTTTTTTTTAATTAATTGATTTATTTATGTATTTTTAATTTTTTAAATTAATTTTTATTGGAGTATAGTTGTTTTACAATGTTGTGTTAGTTTCTGCTGTATAGCAAAGCAAATCTGTTACACGTATACATATATCCACTCTTTTTTAGATTCTATTCCCATATAGGTCATTACAGAGTACTGAGTAGAGTTCCCTGTGCTATACAGTAGGTTCTTATTAGTTATCTATTTCATACATAGTAGTGTGTATATGTCATCATTTCTTATCCAGAATAAATTGCCCTAGTTCCTTCAACTTCCGGGAATGGCGCATTGGTTTTCTATGGCTGCCTAACAATTGCCCCAACCATGGTAGCTTAAACAGCATTCATTTATTATCTCATGGTTCCGGAGGTCAGAAGTCAACAGGCTCACCTGGGTTCTGAGCTCTGGCGCTCCTCACAAGGCAAAATCCAATTGTCGACAAGACCGGGATCCTACGTGGAAGCTCTGGGAGAGAATCTTCTTCTAGGCCCATTCAGGTTGTTGGCAGAATCCAGTTCCGTGCAACTCTGGGAGTGAGTTCCCCACTTCCTTTCTGGTTGTCAGCCGGGTCTGCTCTCAGTTTCTATAGGCTCCTTGCATGTGGGCCCCTCTTTCCCCTCCACCACCAAAGCCAGCAAAGGTGCATGAAATCCTTCTGTTGCTCCAAATCCCTGTGAACTTCCTATTACGCTACCAGGTGGAGAAAACTCTGTTTTTAAAGGGCTCGTGTGATTAGAATGGTCCCACCTGGATGATTTCCTTATCATAAGGTCATCTTATTAGGAACCTGCAAAATGTCATTTGCAGATATATCGTGATAGTCACAGTCTGGGGATTAGAGTGGGAAATCTTGGGGAGCTGTCTTAGAATTCAGCCTACCACAATGATTTCCTGTAACTACCTAATCATGGTTATGATACCTGTACTTTCTAAAGAGCTGTTGGTATAGTGATTATAGTCAATAATACCGTGTTACAGACTTCAAAGTTGTTAAGAAACGAGATCTTAGGGGGCTTCCCTGGTGGCGCAGTGGTTAAGAATCTGCCTGCCAATGCAGGGGACACGGGTTCGAGCCCTGGTCCGGGAAGATCCCACATGCTGCGGAGCAACTAAGCCCGTGCGCCACAACTGCTGAGCCTGCACTCTAGAGCCCACAAGCCACAACTACTGAGCCCACGCACCACACCTACTGAAGCCCGTGTGCCTAGAGCCCATGCTCCATGACAAGAGAGGCCACTGCAACAAGAAGCCCACACGCTGCAAAAAAGAGTAGCCCCCGCTCGCCACAACTAGAGAAAGCCCGTGCGCAGCAACAAAGACCCAATGCAGCCCAAAATAAATAAATTATAATGAATAAATTTGAAAAAAAAGAAAAAGAAACTAGATCTCAATTATTCTCACCGAAAAAAAGAAATGATTATGTGACATGACAGAGGTGTTAGCTAACACTATGGTGGTAATCATACTGCAATATATAAACGTATCGAATCAGTACATTGTACACCTTAAACTTATAAAATGTTCTACGTCAATTATATCCCAGTAAAAAAAAAATTTTAAATAAAGAGCTGTTGGGCCCAGGTCATTTCTTCCTTTGTGTTTTACAAAAAAAGGAGGTGCTACCTCATCAGGAAACATTTCTGAAGTTCAATTCCAACCAAACTTTAAGTTGCATGTGTGCAGGTTGAGGCCTCCTGGAGATGAGTAGTCAGAGGAATGCAATTAAAACTCAAAAGTAAAGATCTTTTCCCACCAATTCACTATTCAAAGGAACTAGGAGATCACAGTTATTAATTTAATGATGTTAATATGTGCTGAACTCTTGTTCAATTGAAAAACCTGAATTAAGAGAGTTTAATGGGATTGACTTTGCATGCCTAAAACATAAAGCTTATTAAGAGGAAATACAGCAGATTTTAATAATTAAAAATTTAACACAAAATCAAGCAAAATTAGTACCCACAGTAGCTTTAGAAAAAGGTTAGCAAAACATTACATTTAATGGTAATATAAAATAATGATATTTCCCATTACTCTTACCTGATTACCCTTGCTAATTCTTTCAAAATGCCAAGTTTCACAAAAATATTTCCCTCCTTTGTGGCTTCATGGAAAAGACAGCTACTACGCCTTGGGACACCTTAGAAGCAGTGGAGTAATAGTTTTAAAAGTTTGAATCCTCCTAAGCAAGAAAATGTTCAAATGGTGAGCCAGTGACTACATTCTCCCAGCCAGAAGTAACAACTGGGGGAAAAATACAAAATGTATCTCACTGCCACCAAGCATCCTCCCTTGGAGAATTCATGGAGCTCCTATGCACATAGGTCCATGTATGGTCCCTGGATTCATGTTTTCTAGCACATTTCCTTCCTTTGTAAAAAGCAGTAGAGTGGTCTCATCTACCTTACGCACCTCAGGGGCACAGGGTAGATAAGAAGGAACAAAACAATAATGGCTTGAATGTGCTTTTTTCCCCTCCAGGCTTATTGAGGTATAATCGACAAATAAAAATTATATATGTTTGAAGTGTACAATTTGATGGTTTTTTAAATTAATTTTTATTGGAGTAGAGTTGCTTTACACTGCTGTGCTAGTTTCTGCTGTACAGCAAAGTGAATCAGTTACACGTATACGTATATCCCACCTTTTTGGATTTCCTTCCCATTTAGGTCACCACAGAGCACTGAGTAGAGTTCCCTGTGCTATACAGCAGGTTCTCATTAGTTATCTATTTTATACGTAGTAGTGTATATATGTCAATTCCAATCTCCCAATTCATCCCCCTCCCCCTTCCCCCCTTGGTATCCATAAGTTTGTTCTCCACATCTGTGTCTCTATTTCTGCTTTGCAAATAAGTTCATCTGTACCATTTTTCTAGATTCCACATATAAGCAATATCATACGATATTTGTTTTTCTCTTTCTGGCTTACTTCATTTTGTATGACAGTCTCTAGGTCTACCCATATCTCTGCAAATGGCACTATTTCGTTCCTTTTCATGGCTAATATTCCATTGTATATATGTACAATTTGATGTTTTGATCTATGTATACATTGTGATACACCTTGTGTATCTGAAACTTTGACTACTATTATCAGTGCATGGAACAGAGTAGGAAGCTACTTCACTGAATTCCTCCAACTTCAGGCAAAGCCACAGGGACATATTGCTCTGCAATTTCCTCATCTTGAAACTGGAGACAATATATGGATAAACAATTTTAGAATAAACTATGACCTATAGTTAACATACTTTTCTACTCTCCTGGACAACAATGTTGTTTCGAGTGAAAAAAAGTTCATAAGCACCCTATGAATGGATGACACCCAGACAAAGGGGGGGTCCTCAATTACTATTTCCAATAGTGTAAACTGACCCCAAAATCTGCTCCCAGCATCCCTTATCCCCAACATCCAACAAGATGCCGTTCCTGTTTAGAGGTAATCCTTTAGGACTAGCTTTCACAAGATACCAGTATCTCCACAATGTCTGCCAAGTCCTACTACCTCCAAGGGAGCCGTCCCTTCTTTGACATCCCTGTTTCAGATTTTCCCAAGGTCCATTCTCTTCAGTATTGACAGTTGTGTTAGAAGTAATGCCATAGAATCTCAAAACTTTAAAGGGTTCTTAAAAATTGAGTCCAATCCCACATTTTCTAAATGAGGAAACTGAGGTGCAAAGATGTCTGGGTCATAGAATTCAGCCCCATGATGACACCCATCTATTCAGAATCATCCTTCAGCCTGGTCTAAGCTTCTCACTACCCATATGTGTAAAAGGCTACACAAAGCTGACTGATTCATAAGGCCAAAGAAGAAACATGGAGCAGGCTAACGCCCCATAGCAAATAGTGAGTTCAGCTCCTGGATGGCCAGTTCATCCATTTCATGTTGTCTAGTAAGATTATGCCTATGTATTTCAGATTACTTTTTAACTTACTTTAAAATAATTTTAGATTTACATAAACGTTGCAAAAGTAGTCCTCAGAGTTCAGATATACCCTTTACCCAGCTTCCCCTAATGTTAACACCTTGTATAATCTTAGTAAAATGATCAAAACCAAAAAAAAATCACATCAGTACAATGCTATTAACTAAACTACAGAACTTACGTGAATTTCACCAGGCTTCTTGCACTAGTGTCCCTTTCCTGTTCTAGGATACAATCCAGGTCCTGGATTATAATTGTTGTTGTGTCTCTTTGGTCTCTTCCAGTCTGTGACAGTCCTTTAGTCTTTCATTGTTTTTCAACATCTTGTCACTCTGGGTGAGTACCAGTTGTTCTACTGAATGTCTCTTAGTTATTTCAGATCATTTTAGAGAAGTCCAAATCTCATGGTTCCATGAAGTGAGCCCCCATTTTGCATCTCGGTCAGGCTCATACGTTTACCACCCAGTTACACTTCAGTAGTACCTGGGTTCTTTTCACTTATGACCATGCCATAGATGAATGAAGACAAATTTGTCATCACTCATTGGCCAAAATTAGACTCACTATTCTTCAGATGTCTTTGGAGAATCGCCTTGTGATGTGTCATGAGTAATAAGAAACACTGTCAGGATATACGACATGAGCCTGATTAATTTGTTAATCATGAGTCTGTGTTGTTATCTTGCCTGGTTTAATTATGACAGAATACTGTGGTGAAGCTGAACAAATGGGCACAGCGGTACGGTCAAAAGCCACGAAGAGATATGTGTGTTACATGAAAAGCTCTGGAAGTACAAACTGTAAGAGGGCCAGGCAATGTTAACTCCAGCCAATTAGATCCGAAAGCACCAGAACCTTCAAGTTCTGCGGGATGTTGGACATGATGAATGGCAATAAACACTCCATACCCCACCCAGTCCTTTGGTACATCATGTTCCCATCATAAAATACAGTGCCCATCATAAAACAGAGGATGCGTGCCTATGGAAGGCAGCTGGGAAGAGGCCTGCCTAGAAGGTGATCTTGGACAAATCTCTAGTGTCTCTGAAATATCAGCAGTTGGGGCAGAGGGGGGAGGAAAAAATGAGAGAACATAAAGGAAAAGGTGTTGGATACCACAAAGAGCTGCAGTTGCAGAGTCACATAAAGCATGATTCGGTAGCATTATCTCAGGCATCAAAATGGTGCTCCTCTGATACAGCCCCCCTCCAACACAAGCCTAAGACTTGACAATCTTGCTGACAGTGACTTGTTGCCCCTGTCCCCAGGCTACTTGCCTTTCCTTCGCTGGGTGTCCAGCCCTTGGGACCATCTTTACTGCAGCACCATTTTCCAGGTCTGTCTTCCTCTTGACACTGGAGTCTTCTTGGAAGCAATGGGCAAGGCTGCTGTTGGGACATAGGGTGATCAATAAAAGTTGGATGAATGAATTAATGAATGATGAAGCAATGGAGAACTGTATCTCATTTGATCCTCTCAATAACCCCTAAAAGCAAACAGGGCAGGTATTATTTCCATCTTAATGAGGAAGGTGAGACTTAAGAGTTTAAACCACCTGCCTGAGGTTGCAGGAGTTAAGTGATTTCCACAGTGCTAGGACCAGAGGAAATAAAGAAAAGGACCTGAATTAAATGCCAGATTTGACCTATGCCCTATGCGAAGCCAAGAGAGCAAACTCCAATGGATTTAGAGGTCTGGCAAGTCATTTAATGTGCACAGAGGATGTCAGACCATACAAGAGGTAGGGACAGTGGCAAAGTGGAGGGTGGGCCCAGTGTTTGACAAACAAATCACACCTGCAGGTCACGTTCAGCCTGAGGCACCTGCAGATCATGACCCCTGTGGGCACCTTTTCACCCAGAATCTCATTTGACCCTCATCGCAACCTGTAAGGTCTGCATTATCATCCCTGTTTTACAGCTGAGGATGCTGGGATGTAGAGATGCTAAGTGCCTGGGTTATCCCCTACTGTGAGTGTCGGAAGGGCCATCAAGCCTGGGACATTTTCTAGGGGCCCTTGCCACCTGGAGCTACAGAATATCTGACTTTTCTTTTATGGCTGCTGACAATCTGAGGAAGGTCAAAGAGAGAGATTCAGCAAGACTGAGGCTGCGGGTGAATGTTATATATTTGGTTTGGCCACATTTCCAACTTAGCCCCTTTGATTTTTAGAACATTAAGCAGAAAAATATCTTAAAGACTCTCCAGTCCAGTGTTCTGCAAACCACCAGTCGTCTCTCCTTACTGAGTCAGAAAATGGGTTTCTGGGGTCACAGCAGGCAATTAAAATAATAACAGAAAATGATAGGACAGAAAATATCTGGGTCCTTCACTCATGAGTATTGGTGAGCATGTTATTATTTTGTGAAACTTGTAGACACCGAAAAAAAATTAATTGAAATAAATTTTTTAAAAACTCACTTTGGAAATTTACTTCTCCAATCCAAACCCTTCACTCCATGTATCAGGAAACAATGGGAAAGAGACTTGGCCAAGGTCACACAGTCAGTTAATGGCAGGGCTGGGACCATAGCCCAGGTCTCCCAATGCCTAGTTCATGGCTTTTTTCCCTCATCACCGTGCCTGCGCAAGGCATGGTTTGGGAATTCTGGCAATAGGTACCCATCATCAGATAGTGGTGCTTTAACAAACTCACATCTTATAAACAATCACTCTGAGCGTGTTTATTGGGTGTTCATGTGCGTGTCCAGCTGTTGGATGTGCTTGCGTTTAAGGAAAACTCTGTGCCTCTTATAACATTTTGGAGCTGGAATGATCACTCTCTCTCTTTTTTCCTTTTTTGGCCTTGCCACACGGCTTGTGGGATCCTAGATCCCTGACCAGGGATGGAACCTGGAACCCCTGCAGTGGAAACATGGAGCCCTAACCACTGGACCCCCAGGGAAGTCCCTCTGTCACTCTCTTGAGTACAGGGATGGTGGAAGGTCTGATGTGAGAGCTCAGTGTGTTGCTGTAGCCCCTGAGTGGGCTTCCTTCAGGGCCTTGTGTGGACTCAGGGCTTTAAAGGAGTGCCCAGACCACTTGATCTGTGGAATGAGGAGAAGTCTGAGCAGGAGTCGTTGTGTGGGGTGGTCTGAGGAAAATACCAGGGGCTGGCTCAGAACATGACTGAAGGAGAACTGAGCAGAACTCCCCTCTCTGGAAATTTCTGCAAGGGCAGGGGCAGAACATTCTGGAAGATGCAAAATGGAGTAGGGAGGAGAAGACAGGGTCAGAATGTCATTGGTTAAAGGAGAACTCAACTAAGCACCCCCTCCCCTAGGTGCTTCTCTGAAGACAGAAGAATGAGGACAGAACTTTCTGGAAAAGAGCTATTCCACAGAAGGCAGAGCCTAGCAGAGGCTGCTGCTGGATGGAAAGAGACTGATTATCATATATGATCATGAGCTTCAAGGTTCTAAATATGTGGTGGACCAAGTGATTTTATATGTGGATCTTCTTTCTCTCGTCTTTCAAAGCTGAGACTCTTTCAGCTCGTTCTAATTTTGAAGCCACATTTTGAGACCAACTTCATTGTGTTATCTTGCTTCCCTTCTGCCTCTCCTTTCTCCCTTTCTATATTTTTAAATATGGACTCTGTATGTCCAGCCCCCAGAGAATAGTTTTCAAGGCTCAGATACTCTTTAAACCAGATAATTATGTGATTTATGGACACCAAATCAAAGAACCTAGTCTTGTGGGGAGGGTGAGGGGGAAATGGAGCCGTAGAGGGGAAGAAGGAACAGGCACTAGAAAAAGGGCAAGGCTGGAGGTTGAGATTCGGCAAAGAAACTGACAAGAAGAGAGCCTAGGGGAAATCATAGGCTTTCGGTCACCATCAAAATGAACGCCAATGATATTTGGTCCTGGAAGAAGTATTGATGGGGTCTGATCAATATAAATAAATGTTGATCTCAAGGAGGAGGGGAAATTCATCCCCCAGTTATATCCAGTGAGGTTTGTTTCTCAAATAGTTATTGTATTGTCTAATCTATGTAAGTAAATGCTTATCTGAAGCAGAAAAACTGCTACCATCAAAATTAATTCCAGTAAAAAAAAAAAATTAATTCCAGTAAAGAGTTTGACAGTATCTCAGAAAGGTAAACATAGAGTTACCATATGACCCAGCCATTCCACCCCTAGGAATATACCCAAGAGAAATGGAAACAAAGAACCACACAAAAACTCATGCCCGAATAGCGCGTAGCAGCATTATTCACAGTAGCCAAGAGGTAGAAATAACCCAAATGTTCATCAATTAATGAATGGTTAACAAAATCTGGTTTATGTCCACAAAATGAAATACTCTTCTGTAATGAAAAGGAATGAAATACCAATATGTGGTACAGCATGGATAAACCATGAAAACATTATCTAAGTGACAGAAGGCAGACACAAAAGGCCACGTACTGTTTGATTTAATTTACACAAAAGATCTAAAATAGGCAAATGGATAGAAACAGAAAACAGAATCAGTGGTTGTCAGGGGCTGGGGGTCAGGGGGAAGGTTTAGAAGCTCCAGTGGCAAGAATGAAGGTCAAGTAACCTCAGATTTTAAAATTGAAGGTTGCGGACTATGCAACCATCAGTGAGGAAACTGAAAAGTCTTTGATTCATGCCGAGTGGGTGCTTTAGCTAACTACACAGCACTCTTCTCCGTTAACTGTGGATTCTCCTCATCCCCCCACCATAAAAGGAAGGAAGGGAAAAAGTGGGCTACCACAGTTGAGGTTTTCCTGTCATGTATACCTTCATGTGACTGACTTTTTATTTAGTCCTCTGAGACAATGATTATTTTTTTTCTCTTGAAGCAGAGTACTTGTCATTAGGAAGCCCAAAGCTCCATCTTCTACTTTGGCCTCCACCAGGAGACACTAGTGGGGGCAGACAGGGTTTTGTGAATTCCTTCCCTCTATATAGTAGAGTTGGTGGACGCTCCACCTGGGAAGCTGGACAAACACGGTCTGACTCCAGTGGATACGGTACAGCGTATAGACTGTGCTGTCATTGAAAGAAACCAAACAGTGAGACAGTTCATTCAGATCCAGCACCAGGGCTGAGAATTCTAGCAAGACAGACAGGCCTTTAAAAGGAGAAATGGGGCTTCCCTGGTGGCACAGTGGTTGGGAATCCGCCTGCCGATGCAGGGGACACGGGTTCGTGCCCTGGTTCGGGAAGATCCCACATGCTGCGGAGCGGCTGGGCCCGTGAGCCATGGCCGCTGAGCCTGCGCGTCCGGAGCCTGTGCTCCGCAACGGGAGAGGCCACAACAGTGAGAGGCCCGCGTACCGCAAAAAAAAAAAAAAGGAGAAATGTATGTCATTGGCCAGGTAAGAGCGGAGCCTGGTCACAGACAGCCTGTCCTCAGTGTGTCTGTGGTTTTCCTTCACCTCCAGCATCACTGTCCCCCCAGCCTCTCCAGGCATGGAGTAGGTGGGGTCTCCTAGCCTGGTGTGTGATTATTTTGTCCCATCTCGTGGCTCAGATGTGTTTTCCTCCTGAGGACCATCCTTTTCTATACCTGTTGGGGATCAGTTTCTTTCCTATTCCTCCACCAGACCCTGCTGGGTCCATGGGACAGGTAGGCCTCCTTGGTCAAAGAGGTGGGGTTGCCAGGTGCCTGAGGGACACATCCCCAGTAGTGCTGGCTGCCCTTGGTTGTGGGAATCGGTTCTATTGACAGATGCACGCCTGTACCAGACTCTGCCGTACCCTTGGGACTGTGTGGGCTAGTGGTCATGGGCTACTCACCTTCTATGGTGCTCTCCAAATAAGACGGGGTTTTTTTTAAAGATGGTATGGAAGTCCTGTCGCCTTCTGAATGATAACTCCTTCCCACCTGGGCATTCATCTCAGATCTTGTCCTAGGAAGGGTCTGATCTGCTCATCCTTAATGAATTACTACAGATTTGGGCAATGGGAGGAGAAGCAGGCATGAAACACAACAGGTTCAGAGAGGCTCCAGTTCTGTCTCAGTTCACAGAGGCTTCTGAAGCCTTGGCCTCGACACTTAGCACACGTGCGGCACCTAGTCGAATGGTGCCCAGAAGTCTCCCTTGAGCCCCTGGGATTTTCTGCGGACCTTGCTTTAAAAGCTGAGGATGTGGGAATTCCGTGGTGGTCCAGCGGTTAAGGCTCTGCGCTTCCACTGCAGGGGGCACGGGTTTGATCCCTGGTTGGGGAACCAAGATCCCGCATGCCGCACGGCCAAAAAATAAAAATAACTTTTAAAAATAAAAGCTGGAGAAGCTATCCAGAGGGAGTTAGCTAGGCCCCAGGGCTGGGGGCAGGGGTGGGCACCGTTATGAAAAGATGTCAGCACAGGGAGACATCGGTCAGAGAGTCTCCACCCTGGGTGATCATATGACTCCAGGTGGAGCTAGAGAAAAGGAAGGTCTGACGATAAAAATAAATCCAGTGAGTGAATTTTTAAGTGCTTTGAGGCAGGGCACACGAAGCCTCCAGTCGTTTACAATCGTGATAAGCTTCGTTTCCTGGACCTTTATGGTTGTCATTTGGTCCTAAAGGCAGATGCTAGGAAGGAGAAGCACATTCACAGAAGGAGGTCGGTGCAGATCTGGGGGACCCATAGGTGGACAGAAAATTTAGGCACACATTTAAGTAGAAGGACGGGTTGGACAGGGTTTGAGGAAAGGAGTCAGTCAAGATACCGATTTCTAATAAAGGAGAAGCCAAGAGGCAGGAGCCCTCTGGGGAAGGCAGCCCCCTGTTCAGAGGGCTGAGGGTTACAACTAAGGTCAGGGGAGCAGGCCCTTATTACAAAAATTAAGGCTACTGAACGGGCAGCCGTCAGGGGAAAGATCTAAAATTGTGTAATGCAGGCCAGGTGCTAACGACAAAGAATTATTCAGCATTATAAACTCCAAATTCTTTTCTCTCACCAAAAAAAGGTAATATGGAGGCAGGGGGCAGGCTATCATACAAGCCTTTATACTCTCATGCCAAGGAATTTGCATTAACTTCACAGAGGAATCATTTCTATCGTGTGGTCAGATCCCCGTAAGTAGGTAGCCCACGAGAGTGAAGGTTGCCCAAAGGCAGGTCAGCTGGCCCGACCTAGGGGCTAGTCGTGGCCAGTTATTTAAAGATTGTCAGGGACTTCTCTGGTGGTCCAGTGGGTAGGACTCCGCACTCCCAATGCAGGGGGTCCGGGTTCGATCCCTGGTCGGGGGAACTAGGTCCTGCACGCATGCCGCAACTAAAGATCCCACGTGCTGCAACTAAGACTCGGCACAGCCAAAAAAAAAAAAAAAAAAAAAAAAAAGATTATCAAACAGCTAGATATTGCTGAGGGAGTCTGTCTGCTCGAGGGACCCACAGGGGCAACACCTTAACTGCTGTTGAAATGGAAGACATTGACAAAACATCCTCCTCAAAACTGCCTACAAAAAGGGAAGATTATATTTAAAATCCCTTTGAGGGGACTGCCCTGGTGGCGCAGTGGTTAAGAATCCGCCTGCCAATGCAGGGGACACGGGTTCGAGCCCTGGTCCGGGAAGATCCCACATGCCGCGGAGCAACTAAGCCCATGCGCCACAACTACTGAGCCTGCGCTCTAGAGCCCGCGAGCCACAACTACTGAAGCCTGTGCACCTAGAGCCTGTGCTCCACAACAAAGAGAAGCCACTGCAATGAGAAGCCCGTGCACAGCAACGAAGAGTAGCCCCTGCTCGCCGCAACTAGAGAAAGCCCACATGCAGCAACGAAGACCCAATGCAGCCAAAAATAATAAATAAATAAATAAATAAAAAGCCCTTTGAGGGATGATAACATAGGAAGACCTCACATGTTAAGGGGCTCAAGGAAGCCTCTGTGATCTTCTTACTTACCTACCCTAAGAATGCACAGTCTGCCTCGAGGAGGGTGAGTGAGTCAGACGCAGAGGGTGACAGAAAAAAAAGTCTCTGACTTTCAGGACCCATGGGGGATGAACTTGGCTGATCTGATGACCTGTGCTATTGTCCATACGGAAGAAACAAACCAATAAAATAAAAATGATAACAATGACGATAAAAATAAATAAGGAGGGTGGGAGGAAACTTGTAGCATTGACAGATATGTTTATGGCATAGATTGCGGTGATGGTTTCACTGGTACAACCTTACCTCCGAATTCATCAGGTTGTATCCATTCAATATGTACAGCTCTTGTACGTCGATCAGACCTCAACAAAGTAGATTTTAAAAATTACTGTAAAAACTAGAGAATAACAGAAGATATCACTTAAAAGTGGGCTGGCCAGACGGCAGCCACTGGTGACACAGGTGGCTATAGAGCACCTGTAAGTGTAGAATGCATACCGGATCTCAAATAATGTACAACTATCTCATTAGTAACGTTAAGTGTTGATCACATGTGGAAATGATACTATTTTGAAAATGTTGGTTTAAATAAGTATATTATTAAAAATAATTTCACCTTTTTGATGTGATTGCTGGGAAATTAAAAACGACACATATGGCTGGGCTGGCATTTGTGGCTCACATTGTATTTCTATCGGGCAGCACTGCATTTGAAGGCCAGCAGAGGCTATGCCACCTCTACCACGATCCGGGCGCAGCCCAGGCTGCAGGCACGCCTCGCCTCTGCTGCTCCCCTGAGGGGCCGTGGCCCTGGCTCCTTGGGACCCCTCGCATGGCTCACTTGGACCTGCAGGGATGTTGACCAGGATGGCTTTGAATCTTGAATTCAGTTTGGAGAAGATGGCTATCGTAACAATTTAGAGACTTTAACAATCTGAATATGGCATATCTTTCCAATTATTTCAGTCTCATCTAATTTAATTTCTCTCAGCAATACAATCAGAATGCTGTTGATTGTCTTTTGTTAAACATATTGCTAGTTATTTTATGTTTCTTGGCATTGCTATAAATGGGGTTTTTTTAAATTTCATTTTCCAATTTTTTCCCGCTAGTATATAAGCATACATTAGAGTTCCCTATATTAAGCTTGGATCCTATGACATTGCTAAATTCATTTATTAGTTCTAGTAGCTGTACTGAAACAGAGCAGGACCCTATGATCCTTGCCCGCTATGTCCTCCCCCTGACTTTTGTCTGTGGAAAAACTTTAGCCAAAGAATAAGTTTAACCAGAGAAGTGAGAACAGCCAGAAACAAAGGAAAACAGTCAAAGGAGACCAAATAATAATAGTTTAATCATTAAGCATAGTCAAGAACCTTTAGCTCCTCCTTGAGGGCTAGAGATAATATTCTGAGCCACATCCTGTGAGCTGTCTTATAGATACTGAAACCCACACCAGGTGGAAGAAGTTAACTACATGATGACCAGGCTATAGCCGTGACATAAGGTGTCACACTTCCGAGAATTGGCCTCAAAGAAATGGGAACAAACCGACCCTGGAACTGAAGATTAACTGTAACTAAAACAATCAAGATGATGCTGGTCAGACCACCGATGACCAATTTCAAGATGACTGTCAGAGCTGACTGTATTGTTTCTGCCTGTAGCCCCCTCCCTCTGTCTAGAAAAGCTCTAGCCCCCTGCTTGTCGGGGTGGGGTGGCGGGGAGAGTCAGCCTTTGGACAGGCATCCACCCTCCCCCCCACCCTGGTTGCCAGCCTCCAAAATAAAGCAAACTTTCCTTTCCACCAACCTGCCCTCTTTTTCGGCTTTTAGGGGGCGAGCAGCCAGACCCCACGTTCGGTTCCAGTTTTTGGCGCCCAGCGTGGGGCTAGTGGGGCTACTGCGGCTACTGCAGGCATGATGGTTTCTGTGCTCTTATGACATCTGGCTCCCCTGGGTTTTCCAGAGTAGAGTCATGGCCATGACAACGCACCAGGATGGTTGCGATGAGCCTGTTGCTCATGGTTGGCTAGTCCCGAGAAGGGGACTTGGGGGATGTTTCTAGCAGCTGCCAAAACCATTTGTTTCGAGGATCCTCCCTGTTTCTCCCTTCCTCGGCACTGGCTGCCAACTTACGCTTTTCCTTGGTGGAACGGCAAGATGCATCTGGACAAGCTGACGAGCTCCAAGACCACATAAGTCCACCAGTGTGCACCCGGGCCACCTTCCCATTCGTGAGCGCTAAGTGCTATTTGGGCATTCTTGCCAATTGGTTCTGACATCTGTCTCATGTTGAGGACCGTTTGTGAGCACTGCCTGCTATTTGGGCATTTTTGCCAATTGGTTCTGACATCTGTCTACCGTTGAGGACTGTTTGTGTGCACTGAGGGTATTTTGCCAATTGGTTCTGACGTCTGTCTACCACTGAGGACCATTTGTGTTGAGGAAGTGTTTGTTTGGGACTCCTTACCGGTCATCCTCTGAAGAGGATTTGTGACGGATCTGCCTTTTGGTGCGTGAGTGCGTATTCCATCTGTGTGATTGATATCTTCGTTGTCCTGTGTAAAATGGGAAATTCAGGTTCAATCCATTCGAAAACTTTTAGCTATAAAATTATGACTAAAGAAAACGAAAGATGATTTTTTTTACCAATGTATGGCAAGAGTATTCTTTAGACTCCCGAGAAAATTGGTTAAGATGAAACTCTTTTGAAATTCCCAAACTGGTTCTTTTTGCATATGCAGTTAGAGAAAGTTAGCTTGATAAAATACTGTTTGCAGAATTCTGACCCTGAGAAAACAAAAATATGGCTAGGAGAACACTTGAAGGTAACTCTTATCATGTCCTTGAAGTACAAAAACGGCCCACTTTGCCTAAGACTTCAGCCTTGGGTTAATTAGTAAAACTTCAAGCCAAAAAAAAAAAAAAAACAGGGAAAAAAAGAAGCCTTTTAAAATTGAGTGTGTAAATTTGACTATTTGGATTGTTATTCATAAACTGATAAGTTTAATTGCAATGCCTAATTCATGAAATGTGAAAAGACGGAACAATGAGATCTCTGTTTGTCTGGATGGATGTATGTATATATGTCTCAATATGTGTCTTTGTCTTTGGTTAATTTGTAAAGAGCTCTATTACAAATTGGCTTAAAAAAAAAAGTAAGCCCTTACAAATCAAAGAAATCTAAATTTACCTACTTTTTGTCTTCTTGCAAGGCCAAGAAGGAAAGTAAAGATGTTTGGGTTTCTTAAGCACACATCTTGTACCACATTAAAGAGAAATTGTGCTATGAAAAAATATGTTTTTAGAGGTTATGGGATATGTTCTTAAGTTTGCCAATCATAAAATACTGATATAATAAATAGTTCAATTACTTGTTCCTTGGTTTTGTTAAGGTTTTCAAGAGTTAAAAATTGTAATATGTAAATATGATAAGAGAAGCATTTCAGTGTGTAAAGCAAGTAGGATATGTGTTGTAGGCGAAGAGAAAGTATAAAGAACGGAGATATTTTTGTTGAGGAAAAATGATGACAATAATTTTGTCCTACTATGGGTTGGATGGGGAAAAAAAGGACAGATTTGTATGGATCCAGAAAGTGATAAAAGGCTTGTGAAAAAGGAACTCTGAGAAAAGAATTTTGTATGTTGTCAGGATTAAGATTAGACTGAATTTAATTAGGTAGATGAATTTTGTCGTAACAGTAAACTGATACATGACTAATTTTGGTTTTCTCTCTCTGTTAAGAGAAAAGAATTTTCTCTAAACTAATTAGGATTATTTGGTATGTTAAATTATATGGAAAACATTTGATAACTTTCAGATCATACTGTTGAACTGGGTAAGAAATTCACAAATCAAAATTCTGATGGAAAGCTATTGTTTTGTTTCTAACCATACTTTTGACCCCGATGCTCAGAATGGAAAAAACTGTCTAGTGAGGTTGTCACAGAGTATAACTACTCATGATGTGTATCACTGCTGGCTCTAAGTTTACTGCTTAAAGCACATGTACAATGTTTGTGTGAGAATTGGATATAAATGATAAAATGCATGGTCTATAAAGTGTTTCCCGATTAACATACCTCTGAGCCCGTCCATGATATCTGATTAGTTTTCCCCCAACGTGGACAACTAGGCAAATACATAAACAAAAAGAGGCCTAGCACTGAGGGACATGAGTGGACCCAGAGCAGGCAACTGAGCCACTCTGGCAACGGTGGAAAAATATATTGAGTATCAATACTTTCTACGGAAAGAGTTACAATTAAAAGGGAAAAATGATGGAGGAAATTTTCACATATTGAGGTGTGAGGAAGTCATTCTGGCTTATACATGATTTACTTGGAACTTTAGGCTAACCAAAACAGCCTGTTTATGGCCTATTAAACATGCACTGTACATTCTGCTTTAACCATTAAGAAAAAATACATTCAGAGAATAATACGAAGATGCATTTTGATTATTATCTTCATTGTAAAATGTCTACTAATTTTCAAATGTTTCTCCAGGTACTATGACAGAGTAATCAAGGAGAGAGGTAATGTTCTCATAATACAAAATATTGATGCTAAGCATGGAGCTCGAGATTATTTCCTTTTCTGTGTCCATTCCCCAAATTAGGCAGGACTGCGCCCCACTTCAGCAAGAAGTAGCCAAGAGCAGTCGTCACCCCATTCCCTCAAACAGTTGGGGAAAATTGAAACAGAAATGGAACTAAACCCGAGCCCCTCTGCCAAGTTTCTGACTAACCCTCTACCCAAACCTTCTTCCCTTCTTGCTCCGCACCCATCCCTCCTCAAGACTGAGGAGTACCAAAGAAAAGGGGCTTGAAACGGAGCAGGACCCTATGATTCTTCCCCTTATGTCCTCCCCCTGACTTTTGTCTGTGGAAAAACTTTAGCCAAAGAATAAGTTTAACCAGAGAAGTGAGAACAGGCAGAAACAAAGGAAAACAGCCAAAGGAGACCAAATAATAATAGTTTAATCATTAAGCGTAGTCAAGGACCTTTAGTTCCTTCTCAAGGACTAGAGATAATATTCTGAGCCACATCCTGTGAGCTGCCTTGTAGATACTGAAACGCACACCAGGTGGAAGAAGTTAACTACACGATGACCAGGCTATAGCCGTGACATAAGCTGCCACAATTCCGAGAATTGGCCTCAATGAAATGGGAACAAACTGACCCTGGAACTGAAGATTAACTGTACTTAAAACAATCAAGATGACGCCGGTCAGACAACCACGTGACCGATTTCAAGATGGCTGTCAGCGCTGACTCTGCTGATTCTGCATGTAGCCCCCACCCCTGTCTAGAAAAGCTCTTGCCCCCTGATTGTCGGCCGGGGGGCGGTGGGGGGAGTCGGCCTTTGGACGGGCGTCCGCCCTCCCCCCAACCCCGGTTGCCAGCCTCCAAAATAAAGCAAACTTTCCTTTCCACCAACTTGGCCTCTTTATCGGCTTTTGAGCGGCGAGCACTTCTGGTTACAGTACTGCAGAGTCCCTGAAATTTTCCACATAAACAATCAGATGATCTACAAACAGGGCCGGTTTTCCTCGTAAAGAAAAACTCAAACAACAAAAATAGTTTAGAAAGAGAAAGGAAAACATTTGAAAATGTACTTCTCAAAGTTCTATAAAAGCACTGGAAAACCACAGGTATCTTTTACATTCTCATTACATTATCTGCTAGTATTCTTTTGGAGGAGTGAGACCGCAGGAAGCCCACCGTTCTGTTTTGTGGCGTCAGGATACTGAACAGAGTTTTCTGGCTTAAGTGGTTGAGGAAGCCAGTCAGAGCTATGGATCCCAGTGGTGGTGGTGTGAAGAAGGGGTCAGTGGAGATGGCTGATGTCTTAGTAAAAAATACCACAGGCTGGGTGGCTTATAAACAACAGAAATTTGGGGCGGGGGGGGGATAAATTAGGAGTTTGGGATTAACAGATACAAACCACTATATATAAAATCAACAACAAGGTATAGCACAGGGAACTACATTCAGTATCTTGTAATAAACAATAATGGAAAAGAATCTGAAAAAGAGTATATATGTAGAAAGCAAACTCACTTTGCTGTACACCAGAAACTAACACAACATTGTAAAGCAACTATACTTCAATAAAATAAAATAAACCAAACAAACAACAGAAATTTATTACTCACAGTTCTGGGGGCTCGGCGGTCTAAGTCCAAGGTGCTGGTAGATTCTGGGGAGAGCCTGCTTCCTGGTTTCTAGACGGCTGTCTTTTCTCAATGTCCTCACATGGCAGAAGGGACAAGCTAGGTCTCTGAGGCCTCTTTTATAAGGGCACTAATCCCATTCGTGAGGGCTCTTATGGCCAAATCACCTCCCAAACACCCCACCTCCAAATACCATCATCACCTTGGAGATTAGGATTTCAGCTTATGAATTTTATGGGGACACAAACATTCAGACCATAGCAGCTGGCTTCCAGTGAATCAAAGAGCCAGCACTGTCCCTAGAAGACCCCGGTTTAGAAGGAAAGCCTTCGTGTATAACATATTAAATGAGGTGGAAAATCTGGGCGAGAATCCCGAACGACACAGGCATCCTGAGGCCTCCTCAGCCACAAAACTCAACGTTCCGTCATTCTTGTGCCGGGGCATGTGAGTCACAGGCCCCGGCCTCCCTGGGATCTGTTTCTCAGGCCAAGAAACAGCGGGGGTGGACTGGACATGAACTCCTATTGATGGGTATATGCTCCCTACATTCCAGAAGCACCAAGACCAAGATCCTTCTCTCTGCTCTCAGGCATCCCTGCTAAGCCTTTCTGCGAGTTCCTAGCCTCCTGCACTCAAGTCAGTCCAGCTCGAGGCTGTCCATCTCCCTCTGGCTACATCTTCCACCTCATTTCTGCCATGGCCCCCACCCACTGCAGCCTTGATCTTTCTGAAACACGGAGGGTCAGACAGATCCCCCTGTTACATGCTGGCACCTTGGCAGGCTTCAGGCAACTCACTCAACTCTTTTTCCTTTGATCAGAGACTATACACCTTTCCTCTTAGATTCACAGAAAGCAATAGTAGACACAAATGGACTTCACTGTTTTCCTGCCTCTATACAGACTGATGGGACCACATATATTCTACCTTGGACAAGCCTGAAAACAATAATAACAACAGAATATATTTCACTGTCTCTTTGCCTCTCTTTGAAAGTGGAGGATGGATCAACAACAAGGTCTTACTGTATAGCGTAGGGAACTATATCCAATATCCTGTGATAAACCATAAAGCAAAAGAATATTTTAAAAAATGTGTATATATACGTATAACTGAATCACTTTGCTGCACGGCAGAAATTAACACAACACTGTAAGTCAACTATACTTCAATTTAAAAATATTGATTAAAAAATGAAATAAAGATTAAAATTGAGGAAATCAAGCAAAAGAGACTAAGACAAAAATATCACACATATAAATAATATTGGAAATGAGAACAAGCGATCTATAAAATGAAAGTGATGAGACATCTATGAATACCTTTTTGCCAATAAATTAAAAAATAGATGAAATTGAAAAAAAAAAGAAACTGGAGGGGATCCCAGTTTTCACTGAGTCGCCATTCCCAACAGAGCCTCCATCCTCTGTGCTATGTGAGCAATTGAGAGGTCTTCTGCCCGTGACTATAGTGTCGCCGCCGCTCTTCCTGTCCCTCCAGTGGCTGGCCTTTCCTCAGGCTCTTATTACTGTGCTGGACCCCTCCAAGCCATGGCCACTCTCACAGGGGCCTCCCTAGTTCCGATCATGGTCATTATCACTCAGAGGGCAAGTGTTTGGTGAAAAA